CCCCCACACACACAGAGCAAGGCAAGGCAACGAAACTTAAAACAATAAGCAGCATTTTTACGGCACGCTATGCATCGGGCCGCCTTGTGGGATTTCCCGACATGTCGTTTCAGTAAATTAAAGGGTGTTTCATGTTGTCTTTGCTGTGGGACTTCTTAATACCTTGGAAAATGCCATTTAATACTTTTTAATACTTTTTAAAAGCCTTAATTTTCGCTAAATTGATTTATCAACTTTTAATACTTTTTAAGACCCCGCGGACACCCTAAGTAGGTACTAGGTAGTGTGCCTGTATGCGCAGTGTGCAAATCTAGTAAGATAATTTGCTATTTATTGATAAAAAACATATTGGTGGTAAAAACTGGTGAGAAAATTATTTATATTTCATTATTCATTACAGGTTCAGCTCAAACAGCCATAGTAGATGAGCTTTAGAGGTGTGGACATTTCTCGATTTATAAGATGCATCGCGACGTACGATTCTGCATCGATGCAGTGACGGAATATAATCGGGAGTTTGGTTTCATATCAGCTTAGTGAGAGTCTTACTGCGTTCTGCTGTCATTTTCTGTCGTGCTAGTTTCTCTCCTCTCCTCTGATCTCTGTTTCAACGAGGGCAGAGCTTTACACACACCCCGTGTGTGCGGAGGTGAGAGGCGGTATTCAAACGATCTGCAGTCCACTAAATTGTTGCTCTCACTACCAATAACAGCTGCTCTGTTATGCCAAATTCACATCAGGCAGCAGCGAAGTGCAGATCGCCACAATGACGACATTTTTCTGAGGCGTGTTCATGTGTTTCAGGCGACAAGAAATTCTTTATAACACAGGTCAACATGTCAGGACTCTGTTTACTGATTGGCTGCGGGTACTCTGTGGCTGCGCTTCACCACTAAAAGTTTAAATATCCCCAACCTTTTGTTCGGTTGCACTTCCCCGCAGAATAAAACATCCGCTGTGCGCTCATAGATATCGCATAGTAGAAGAACTATGAGTAAGGGAAGGTCTGTAGCTGCTAGGCAGTGTAAATGCCATCGGCTTTGTGCTGCATTCACATGATGTCGGAATAATCTGAAAAGTTATCTCCCTGCCCATTCACCCCCCCAAAGCAGTCAACCTAGGGAAAAACTGAGCTGCTATGTGAAAACCTTATTTTTGTAGATTACAGCACACTTGTAATGCACTGCAGAATTATTTAAATTAAAGCTCCCATGTCATGCTTTTCCGGTTATTACCCGTCCCCTTGTGTGTTATGAAGGTTTTTCTGCATGTAAACGGTGTGCAGAGTCAAAACCTTTAAAGTAGACCCTGTAGCGAGTAAAACTCTAACACAGAAAATACCTCCCCAAAACGCCTCGTTGGTGAAACGTCATCATCATCCATTTGATTCTTCCGGGTATGTGCTTTCGTAAGCACGTACCCGGACTAAATGGGCCAATCCGTGGAGCCGTTACGTTACGTCCGCGGAGCCGTTACAATAAGCCTCCGCTAATTGGTCCAAATTGACCAATCCACACACACACTCAGTGCAGGCAGCTCTGCTGATTTCTGCTCCCTGGCTGCAGGCTGATAACAGACAGTTGGGATCGCGGCGAAATTCTCTCTGCAGACCCATTCTCACAGAGTTTATCAACCTTTTGCTTACTCAATATCAAGCCACACTTATTGTTTTTACTTCGGCTGTGACTTTGTGTGTGCTCAGGGTGAGTTTGGCTTTGTTTCGCTGTGTATCGCTAAACAAGGAAACTACACCTCCACGAAGCTCAGCGCGATTCACAAGGTGAACCAACCAATCAGAGTACACTGTGCTCACAGGGAGGGTGGGGGCTGGAGCTATTGGAGCTACAACCAGCCGTTAAAGGCAGAGTGAAATTCAGTGAATACACAGTTTACAGAGATGCTGTATGAGAAACCAAAGTGATTTTGGAAAATTGCACAATATAAATCTATTCTAGTAGACCTAAACAATGGAATTATGATCAATGGAAATGGCCATGACATGGGACCTTTTAATATTCGCAGCCAGATTTGAAGCATCTTTAAAGATGACTATTTTATTCTATTTTGAGATTTGGAACTACTTCCTCTACTCGTGTTCAAAAGTGATTCAATATGTGATGCCATCAACTATAAAGCATGAGGCTGCTGCATAGAAGATACATTGGGACACATTTTATAGACATGTTCATTTTATTTGTAATATTGGTAACAAATATTTTGTGGGATTCTCATTTATTTTTGATGACATCACAAGATGCGAGACTTTTAGTAGCTGAAGTTCAAGCATATTCATTTAATATGTTAATTGTCGCAATGATTGGGCATAGCACAAACACACAGGTAGCCGTAGTAAAAGCAGTAGCAAGTTCTCAATTACTTTAAATGCAGTCAACAAATGTAGTCCTAAAAAACCATGGTGACCTTTAATTTGTTTATGGCCATTAAATGAGCACAAATAAAGGCTCACTTGTTTGACAGCGAAAAGCAATACAACTACTCAATCCATGGGGACATTTTGTTTCGTTAACACATTTAACTTTATGCAGTAGTTCTACTAAACCCACACACCCATGGGTTCTAAAATGTGGTGCATAGAACAAGCAGCTCATTGATTGGCTATCGTCTTTTGTCCATGTCTGAGTTCCTTCAAAAATACAATTGGTAAAGTTTATCCACTGCGATCCAAACTGTAGAACACACTACCCAGAAAACTGAAAGGCAAACTCAGTGGACATTCTTAAACAAAAGCTGAAAACATACTTGAGTACAAAGCTTTTAATTAGCATTACCTTCTTCTACTGATTTTTATTTTTGAATTAATTTGTGTATGTATATATTTATTTATTATTTGTATCTTATTTCTTTTATCTTCTATCTTAAAAATTGTCTTTTTTACCGAGGACTATTGGATTTACTATTGCACTTGTATGTATCACGTAAACATGCTGCATGTGTGCTAAGAGGTTTAACATTTGACTTGAATTGAATGTCCTTTTGTTGTTTGCTAAAGCGCTTTAAGCTGCATCCTGTGTATGAAAAGTGTTGAGAAAATACAGCTTTACTTTCATTATTTGTATAAGTAGCAGTACATACCAGGTGTCCGGACTGGCACTGCAGGATGGGGGGGAGCACATAGTCGAAGCAGACGGGGCACTCGAACAGGCTGGCCAGGTCGCTGTTGGAGGCCGTGGTGCCTGACAGGGTGGGGACGCGCTGGGAGGGGGGGCACTTGGAGGTTCCAGTGGGCAGCGCGGTGGCAGTCTGGCGACTCATTTCTGAAGCAGGGAGAGAAGAGAGGGTCTGATAAGGGTTTGAGCAGATTATGAAGCACTATATCAGAGGTACAAAACTCTGTGTCGTTACTTACTGCACATCTGTGAGTTCTGACCTCTAAGTCCCTGGCTGTTTACCTCTGACACATCTACATCAAAACTGATGGAATCGGCTAAAAAGGAGAGAGTGTTAAAGAGAAGGATGGGAGGCGGGAGGACCACATGGTGAACTTCAACATTGCTTTTATCTTGAGATGGAAGTATAAATACAATTTCTTTATACTGGTTTTTGTTGTTTTTCATTGATAAATAATACTGTAATGTAGAACTCTCACCCAAGATATTGCAGTTATTACTTTTTTGTAGAACTCTGTAAGCAAGACCGTTTCAAATCTAAGACTTCAAAAAGTTATCATCCTCATCATTTCAGGTGAAAGTGTACAGTTTCAATGTGGCCACCAAAAGAGCGGTGACTGAATGAGTCTTAAAATCCTGAAATGAGTTAGCATTTGACCATATCCTCTTAGCTTCAACATGTTTTTGATAAGATATCTTAAATAATCACGTTTTATTCAACAACATAAAATATTTCAATTAATGTTCCACTCCTGAATGTCCAAAGTTTCTATGTGTGATAAACATCGGTTGGTAACAAGTGACTACTACTAAAAGTGGTGTTAATAACAAATCAAAGCGAAACATCCCATTGCTTCTGTAAAGGGACCCTTGCAATGTAAAACTGTATTTCCCCCCGTATGCAAAGACGTAACCAGCAGTGGGATTTCCTCACTCTCTCACAGTCAGTCATTGACAGACTTTTGCGTTTATAAGGATGGCTGAATGGCTGGCTCCCACAATGCTGCAGTTCTTGAAACCAATGTGAATGCTTCCTGTGCAGGTTTAGACACAGGTAACTGAAGGCTTTTGGAGCATCTGGACTCTTGAGGGCAGGAGTGGGGAATCTTTTTCCTCTCAAGGGCCATATCAATTTTTTCAACATCCTCCGGGGGCCGTACAAATTATTGACCTCTGCTTAACAAAACTAAAATCACCAGATATCTTACCATGACTCACACATGCATGCACGTGCACGGTTATGACATGACCACCACAACAGAAAGATATGGACACAAGATGTGTGCAAATGTATTTAGTTTCCTATCCATGTGAACATGATTTAAATATTTTTTTTTTAAATATTGAAGATAAAAGCATCAATCTGGTGCACTTTGAGAGCAACATTCATTTCATTTCAAACCTTTATTTATACAGATGAATCCCATTGAGATCATTGATCTCTTTTTCAAGGGAGACCTGCTCAAGTAGTTCCACATGAAACATAAAAACAAATAGAACAACAAAAAGACATCATACAGTATCATTTACATAATTATCCACATAAACAGGTACCAATAGCTTCCGATTGAGTAGCATCCAACCGAGCTTTAAAAACATTTAGTGGCACCAGATTGTTCAGTTTCCATTTAATTTGCAGACTATTCCAAGACAGAGGAGCTGCACATCTAAAAGCTCTATGGATACATCTCTCAACATCCATATGAAACAGAACTGTAAACAGATTTTCTTTATGGATATTTTACAAATCATTCCCCTTTTAAAACTGTATTCTTGTTTATTAATAACAGCTTTTTTTTTTTTACTGTCATAGTATTTTATACCCGTTTACTTTATTCTCTTGTTTTTTTATAACTATAATGATCAAGATGTGCCTTTACCTCACTGGTTTGAGAAAAAGCTTCTTATATTCGTTAGCATAGCTAGCTAACTAGATGCTAATAACAACAATGTTATTGACTGTATGATCAGTATGACAGATGAACAGATCGCCACTGGGCTTACAACTAAAGACTGCGGCATGTTTACGGCTCCTTATCTAAAGTGCCGGAGCCGCGTTCCGGTGCTCTCTGTCAGCACTACACCCCTGTCAGACGAAACACCACGTGATGACACGTTAGGCTCGTGTTGTGTTCAAGGACCCTGACCTTGGTCAGGAAAAACAGGCACTCGCTTGTTTAATTATTTTGCGGTCTAGATTTCTTTAATTTATTTATTTTTTGCGTGCGTTTATAAATTACCTCGAGGGCCGTACCAAATGGTCTCGGTATACGGCCCGGAGGCCGGAGGTTCCCCACCCCTGCTTTAGGGGTTAAAACCATCTTTACTGCTAAGAAAAAGAAAAAAAAAGAACCACCAGACACTAAAGTGAGCTCAGATGTGGTGTGCTTGCTGCTGTTTCCTATCGTGCTGAGCAGTTGCCCTGGTAACAGGTTTGTGGTTAAGTATGGGATGGCCTGTGGAGTAGAGAAAAGGAGAGGGGTAGATAGGAGCGGAGTCAAAATGATGGGCAGGATAATAGGTGTGTGCTAAGAAAGAGGGGGCAGCAGGAGAGTGGGAATGAGACCGCGTAGTGTAAACTAATACAGGGTAAGTGGCGAAGATGTGGACAGTAAGAACGAAAACTTAGGAACATGTCAAAATTAGTTAAGAGGATAATGGAGGATGTGAGGAAAAGGAATGAATAGGCAAAGAGTGGCAGTGAGGAGATAAAAAGGGAGGAAAGGGCAGGATGATTGAAGGGGTGTCACATGACATTTCTTCTCTTGGCAGTAAAGGGTGTAGGTGGTATGACTGTGCACGCCCGTGTCCCCAAATACTCCGCTATCTGGCCTAGCTCATCCTTTTTTTAGCCTTACCCAAAGACAGATGCAGCACAGGGAGATCCAGAACACAGAGGGGAGAGGATAGTATGTGTGGGAGGCGAAGACAAAAGACAATCAGAGGGTGAGACAACGCAGCAATATGTAAACAGACAGTACTGGGGAATGTACACCCACCAGCCCAATGCTGCCAAAGCTTTAATGATGGCTGGACTATTTGGCTAACTTAGCAGCCCATTTAACATATTAACAGTGTTAATAAAAGATGTTGCTGATATAAGGAACATTGAGAGTTGTTTTTGCATGAGTGTTAGGGATTATGTTGTTTAGGCAGCACTTTAGTCCTACTTTTTTCCTTTTACCTCTTTTTGACAATTTGATGATGATTATAAAAATCCGACCATTTTAGTAAATCTATGCGAAGCTCTTAAATCATCCTACAGCTCTTCCTTATATGGGTCACTTCTTTATGCTACGTAACCACAGTCAAGGCTCAAAATGATGTGGAGGTGTTACTTCCTAAACTCTGTGTGCTCAGCGTGTTACATTGTGGCCAAATGATTATTACAAGAATAATCCGCGGAAGTGCCTTTAATGTAAAATATTTATATTCTGCCATTTTCCGCACTGGTGCAAGCAATATTTGTTTTTAGTGTACGAAAGTAGCTTATCACATCACTGAGTTAAAGGGGACCTATCATGCAAAATGCACTTTTGTACGTCTTGTATACATGAATATGTGTCCCCGGTGTTCCAGGGAACTCATCAAGTGTCAGAAAACACAACCCTCTCTTTTCCTCCATACCCAAATCTCTAAAAAAGGGGCTGCAACGGATCTGATAAAAACTGATCCAGATTTGAACACTGTCCTGACGTCAGGACGGTGGCGCTACGGCTAATGGGCCAACTCTCCACCTATCAGGGGAATGTGGGGTTGGGCCACGGCCGGCCATTGCCACTCGAAAGCGCTGGAGACGCTGTAGTACATATGCCAGGCCTGTAAGTGGCGCTGTAGTCTGCCACAAAAGCCGCGAAGAAGACTTCCCTCGCATGGTTGCCATGGTTGCCCTTCTGTTTATTCTCCGATGTGGCTCTTTTTCTCCCTCCCCGAGGCAAGCGTTTGCTCCCGCTGCTGTAATTCAATGCAATCCCTCCCCGTCGAGGCAAGCACTGTAATTCTCTCCGGTTAGTCCACCAGCAGATGAAAAACACCCACCTCTCCGCCTCTTCCAAGGGACGAGGGGACCGTGCGGCAGAGTTTCAGTTTTCAGGTTTTCTTTCGCCGGTCAAGATGTCCGTTAAAGTTAAAATCTTCAGGACAAAATTAGAAAAGTGCTTTGTTATTTATTGAGCTTTAAAACAAATGAATAACGACTCTATACAATAATATAATAAAACACGGAGGACGGAGATCTATTTTTCTCCCCCTCCCCTCTCCTACAGGGGGGCGTGGTCAGCTGCAGCTCACAGAATCAGCCCCTGCAAAAACAGGGCTGGAGAACAGCGAATAGAGCGAAATGAGGCATGGCTAAAATGCATGATCTGTTTGGTATTTTGAAAACAGAAACATATAAATATACCTTATATAGGTATGGCCCTACAATATATCATTTAAATATAGCATGATAGGTGTCCTCTAAGCTATGTTTAGGACTGAGAATACTGATTGACTGCATATTCTAAATAATATACAAAATATTCTCCCACAGGGTTTCAGGTTGGCCCAAAAACAGTTAATGTGAAAGGAAATTTGCTGCTTTTAAATGACGTGTTCATGACCTGAATATGCTTCCCTTTTACGTCCGGCTTGGTAGTTGGCAGACCACCTCTGTCAGTGCATCTGTCGGGGTAAAGCCTCTGCGCACGCACACATGCAAACTGCAGAGGTTAAAACTGGACCTAATGAGAGACAGTGTTAGCTGGATGCAACTGTGTCTGCCGGCTTGTAAACACATCTGCTGTGGTGGAGATAATGCCTTATCGGCTATAAATAGCACTTCTTAGCGGGCTAGCATGCTAGCAGCAGCACTAAGAGCAGTGGGACCAAATTAGCTCAGGACATTCAGCCAGGCCAAGGCTATGGTCAGTCGGCTAGCATGCCAAATAATAATAAATTAAACTGAGCTTTGGTATAGGCGGTCACTCACTTGAGACAATGCGATCATCCAAAATGGTGGCAAAGAGTCATTTGCTGTAGATGGGTGGCTTATGAGACATGTATGTATTGGTATGTGGACATACAGTCCAGTTCCTGGTCTCAAGGGGTGAGGCATGGTATTCATGTAAAAGTTTACAACAAGTGGACTTCATATTTAACTTAACTAAAAATCTGATCTTTTTTATTAAACAACTGTGAAACTCGATGAGTCTTGTCACTTAAATGAGAATAGCTGATCCACCTTAATTAAGTTTGAGCTTTTTGCTAACACTGGGGCTAAACCCCTTCTCTTTAAATTGTTTACAGGTAGTGCGTTAGAGACTTAGAAATGACTGGGAGAGTGGCTGCATGTCTTCACAGCCTTGCACGCAACATGTTGGCATTCCAGACAAATTAACTGGGGATTTGGTTGTGCAGCTGGCGATAAATTATGGATTTAACCTTTTTGTGCATGGGGTTGTAAATGCACAACTCAACCATAGCAGCCCTGCTTGCAAGACAAGGCTAACAGCTAAGGATCGGATACCTAGGGTCGGCTATCGGTAGGAATTTTTCCCAATTAGCTTCTCTATTTTATAAAAAGTCAGTTATTAAGAATGGGGAACATGTTAAACTATGTTAAACAAGCCTTGATGGGGACCCCACTATTCTGTCACAACTGCCAGCTGTGTGTGTGTGAAACACTGCAGGGCCACGTTGTGTCAGGCGTGATGTCAGAGAGATATGTGTCCGGCTGGAAGCATGATAATAGTTAGTTTTAACAAAAATCTGATTAAAGCTCTGTCTTAATCAGGCAAAAGTAGCCTAGAAAAAAAAAAAAGTGTTACAGTTGATACAAATGACTGTGCTGGACAGCAGAATTACTGTAAGGCTAAACATTCCCTCCTGAAACACACTGAAAGGGGGGCAAGTTTTGTAGTCTCACGGTTGAGAAACGTTTAAACCGACACACCCAATTTTAATTCAACCATGAGGTGTTTCATCTGTTCGAAGCTGATATTACAACGTATGATAGGAATTCTGAAGCGAGATTCCCATTCACACATTCTCACTGGTGCCAGAAAACGCCAGCTCAGTTTTGATTGATGTGATTAACACATTTCTTCTGATTGGCTGAACTACACACACACTTTGGGTCTCTGGGCATGCAAA